CCCCAAAACCCCAAAACCCCAAAACCCCAAAACCCCAGCAAGAGAGCATGCTATTGAACCATGAATCTCTAAATTAATTACAAGAAGTTAAAATTCATCTGTACTTCAGTGAGCCAGAGAATTATTTTCTTCAATATCGCTACGGGCTTCTTCACCGTTATGATCCACCTTGCTCAGTTCTTGGCTTTGTAGGTTGTTAATAGGTTCAGCCTTACTGACCCTTGCTTGAGGAAGCACTAATCCTTCCCCAGAGAGAATACTTCCTCCGAAGATAGACAAGGAAGGACTCATCATGCTTAGATTCGCCATACGTTTAATCTGTGCAGACATTGATAGCACAGATTCATCTTTTCTCTGAGTATTGCAGAATATCTTCCCAATGTTCGGAACCACTTTTTCGTTTAGGTTAGACTATAGAAAGTATAAATAACACGTTGAGTGAATAGGGAATATCCTACCTGCTTGGAATTTTGGATTAGCGTGTGGCCTGATACTCAAGAAGTTCTACCAGACATTAGTCCTCCAACTAACGATTCATTACTGATACTTCTGTTTTGGCGTAGGTTGTGCTTCCTCATATTGCCGATTGTTAAGGAACTATATCAGGCTCTTTCCTTTGGAGCGTGGACAGGGCTCCTGACAGATCCAGTTTTATAATAAATATTCAGTGATTCATGAGCACTAAATTTTCCTTTCTTATTAGGAGTAGTCAAGTCTACATTGATATGCTTGGTCGGAGGAATCCTAGGAGATCTCCCCACCATCCTGGCAGATGGCAGACTCTTCCTAACTGACTCTATCGTGCATGTAGCAGGCTTAACAGCAGGATCTGAGACTAGTTTTTCAAGAAGGGTATTTTTCAGATTTCTATTCTTTAAGGTCTTTAGGACAAGTTTCTTAGTGAAAGCTCGGTTAGTCTTGATCGACCTTAGCTTCTTGTTGGTGCAAGGATCTAACTTCTTAATACTGATGCTTCAGTGCTTGTTATATTTAGTTGTAGAAAAGTCTTTACTCTTGGTCTTTCTATTTTAATCTCAGGTTAGACAAGTTTTGAAGATTTAGGATAAATGTCTTACTTTGTACATATCCTTCTCTTTTTGAGGGAATCACGCTCTAAAAGCATGGAATTTTTTGAGCCAGAGTGCTTCAATTTCTTCGACACAATCGATTTTCTTGGCTTCTTTGCTGCTATGAGAGAATAAGTAAGATTTTCATCTTCAAAAATCCCAAATGATAAGATATTTAACGAAGAATTTCAGGTAAAAATGACGATTTTGAGTGAATTTTTTTTAGAAAAATAATAAATAACTTAGAACTTACTTGTATGAGAGACTATAGCCCATTCATCAATTATTTCTATTTCGTCATAGTCACTGAAGGTGACTTTCTTAGGTGAAATTTTGTACTGTTCCATAAGTTCTATGCAAGGATTAGACACTGGTCTGGGTTGATAAGACCAAGTATGAACATCTAGATTTATAGAGATGAGCTCATGCTTGAGGATATAATACTTACAGCAATATTTATTAATTACAATGAGCAAAAGCTTTATGGGGTTTTGGGGTTTTGGGGTTTTGGGGTTTTGGGG